ACATTCCTCGGAAGAGTGAGTCCGGCTGCCTTATTTATTCCTCGTCTCGTTGAAAAAGGCCACAAGCGTGTCCAAAAATTCGAATTTAAAATCTTACACTTCGAGCTCCAGTTTATTCAATAGGGTAATATATAATAAATATGTATCTTATTGCAATATTGTTATCGTTTTGTTGTTTTTTATTCCTCAGTTTTTTAACTGGGCCTATGATATATATATATATATATATATATATATATATATATATATATATATATATATATATATTTCGATTATAGGTGCAGTTCAATTTATAATTACATGAATCATTCATACAAAAACAAATATAGAGGTTAATGATTTAAATGGCGAGAATACATCTTCGCAAACATGTATTCTCGCCATTTAAATCATTAACCTCTATATTTGCTTTTTTTGTATGAATGATTTATATATATATATATATATATATATATATATATATATATATATATATATATATATATGAATGTGCGTTTGTGTACTTGCGTCTATATATACACCGATATATAGGGGAATGTGTGTGATTATAAGTATCTGTAATATGTACGTTAGTCAGGGCATGATATATATATATATATATATATATATATATATATGATGAAATAGATAAATATAGGCAAATTTCGAGTAATCGTAATAATATTATTAATTTCATTATTGATTTCCATACAAAAAATAGTTCCGCCTTTGATTTTCAAATCGGATTCTCAGTCTTAAATGTTAATCTGGGCTAAAATTCAAATCTAAAATTAAACTATAATTCATTTAAACACTTAATAACAATAATAATCCAAACTAACAAGAAAATATCCTCACGATGATGAGAAGTATTAAACAAACGGTGTAAAGACAAAAATTGCACCTGAAGATTGCAAATGGCATTAAAGGCCGAGTTGTGCAATTAACGTAGGATATTATGTATATTTTTAATGGTGAGCAATCATGTATATTTCTTCTTCTTCTTCTTCTTCTTCTTCTTCTTAATAATAATAATAATAATAATAATATATACATATATATTGTTTTCATCATGTTATATAACATCAATCATTATTTTATAAACACCATCTCTGTATCTAAAAGAGTTCTATGAAATAGAAAGGTCCGAATTTTATATATATATATATATATATATATATATATATATATATATATTTGACAAAAAATGATTTTAAGATGTGCTATATTTATGAGTAAAAATGCTTAATATCAAGGATAGAGAATATGTAGATATAGAAAATCAAAATGGACCCAAGTGAACACCGAGCATTGGCAGTCTGTTTCATGCTTGAAAGCACTCTTCACGCCATTTGTGTTTTTTTGGTTTGACTATTTATATATCATGGTTAATGGTGCATTATGGGTAGCAAGGTCTATTGTATTATCCTAACGCTTACAGGCTAGGCGTTAACGGTTATATTTCAAATTATTCTACAGGCTATTGACTAGGAATAATTGTGGATCCAAATGCTCTTATCTGTAGCTATTTTATAGCATTGTTTGTTAACTTTTTATTCAATACACACGCAAACACACACACATATATATATATATATATATATATATATATATATATATATATATATATATATATATATATATATATATATATATATATATGTGTGTGTGTGCATATACATAAGTTTGTCTCTTATCTGTGTGATGTTACCTTCAGCACCGCGACTTCAGAGTTTTGTAGGCGGACCTGTCTGTCCACTTTTCAGGGATTATCAATAATTGACTTCTTATAGTTTTCGATTTTTTTCTTTTTTATGGTCTTTATATATATATATATATATATATATATATATGTGTGTGTGTGTGTCTGTGTGTTTGTGTGCGTGCGCGTGCATGTGTCTGGTAGTGTACATATACAGGCACACACACACATATAGGCAGCATATTTTCATTCAACGTGTTTCATTGCATGTTGATTCAGTGTTTATTCTCTCCCTCTCTCTCTCTCTTACACACACACACACACACACACACAACGATAAACTACATCTAGCAGAAAGGCCTCTGATAGGGATACTGGAAGTTTTGACGAATTTGGAACCACACCCTTTACTGCTGCTTTTCCCTGACCCGAGGTGGTAGCACCTGTTAGGTTCCAGCTATAGGCAAATAGCTAACCCTCAAGCAAAAATCAACAGTACATTTTTATAATAAAATGAGCCACAATACTTTTTCTAGAAAAATGACAATCAAGGCAACAATAAAAAATATAAAAATACATTTTTATAGTAAAATTACCTACAGTATATATATATATATATATATATATATATAAAACATACCTTTATCCTAACTGTATAAAATTATGTATAAAATATTTAGATTTCAGCATTAATTAACCCATAAAGATTGATATGCCGCTAAACAAAATCAACCAAAGCAAACCAATGAAAATATTTAGATTTCGGCATGAAATAACCCATAGAGGTGGATATGCCGCTAAACAAAATCAACCAACCAAACCAATAAAAAATATTTAGATTTCGGCATTAAATAACCCATACTGGTTGATATGCCGCTAAACAAAATCAACCAACCAAACCAATAAAAAATATTTAGATTTCGGCATTAAATAACCCATAGTGGTTGATATGCCGCTAAACAAAATCCCCCAATCGTCATAATGACTCCAAGAAATTGTTAAACAGGCACCACGAAACGGATAGAAGGATATATTTGAAGAGGAGATTTGATTTTCGAAAGCTTTACCGCCCAAAAAGTGTGTCGATGAAAAAACATAGTTTGCATTCCACGCCAGGAAATGCTATATTTCTTGAATCAAATGTAATACCAATAATGAACATAGCCCAAAATATACTGGGTCCATATCAGATGCTGCCAGAACTGACTCTGCGCTAACAACAGACCATCAAAGAAGCCCGGTGCATCAGTGGGTTGACCTGAAAGATGTCTTCCTAAACACCGGATGCAGTTCTACTCCTCGCAGAATGTCAGTAACGGTTCTCGACATGTGAACACGTAGTCGACCCAGCTGGGCCTAGGATGTACATATGCGCAACAATGCTGATGATAGATAGATATATAAATACCCAATTGAATAGCAAGAGATGAGAATCTCACATCCTTGCCACAATGTACAGGGTGCCACTAAAGTCAGGACACATAGGCAAAGATGCATATCTTCAATAAATTAAATTTTCAACACCATTTTATTGATTTGGAATATTAATAAATAATATTTTCAATATGATTTCCATCATTTGTGATACAAAAGTTGATATGCTTTGCAAGATTCACGCGAACTCGGTGCAATAAATCAACATTGCCGTCAATTTTAGAACATTCACTCTTTATGCATTCAATAAAGTGTGTTGCATCTGTGAGTTTCATTGAGTACATCTCCTTTAGCATTCCCCAGAAAAAGAAGTCAATTCTTTCTTCTTTCGACAAAAAAAAAAAAAGTTTCATCTGTGGAAGTAAAATAATATAGTTAATGAAATTTCATGTATCCAGACTTTAGGGAATCCTTTCTTCTTCTTTTATGTGCCGTGTCTTTTCAGGACGTAGGTGATCATAGCCCTCCACATTTTCCTGTCTCTTGTAGCTTTTAATAAGTTTTTTCTTCTTGTTATTTCTCTCAAATCCTATTTTGCCATTCATTTGATCAAACTTATCAAGCATGTTACGCGCTGCTTTACTCTGTCCCCTTTCCCCAATCTGTCTTATGTGTATCAGGTTTTCCAAGCCCTCCTTCCTCATTACGTGCCCCAGAAATTTCAGCTGCCTCTTCCTGATGTTAAGTATAAGTTTCCTTTTTGTTTCCTTATTCTCTAAAACCTCGGTGATACATATTCGGTCCATGGTATCCTCAGCATCTTTCTGTAGAACCATATTTCTATTGCTTCAAGACTCGTCTTCATCTTTGAGGAGATTGTCCAGCATTCGCTTCCATACAGGGGGACAGATATCACGTAACAGTTCAGTACACTTTTCTTTGTTTCTGTTTGCTCAAGTCTCTTGTTTATCTTTGAGGAGATTGTCCAGCATTCGCTTCCATACAGGAGGACAGATATCACGTAACAGTTCAGTAATCTTTTCTTTGTTTCTGTTACTTCAAGTCTCTTCATCTCCGAGGAGAATGTCCGGCATTTGCCGCTATACCGGAGGACAGATATCACGTAACAGCTCAGTACTCTTTTGTTTATTTCTGTTGCTTCAAGTCTCTTGTTTATCTTTGAGGAGATTATCCAGCATTCGCTTCTATACAGGAGGACAGATGTCACGTAACAGTTCAGTAATCTTTTCTTTATTTCTGTTGCTTCAATTCTCTTCTTCATTTCCGAGGAGAATGTCCGGCATTTGCCGCCATCAGTAATCTTTTCTTTGTTTCTGTTGCTTCCATTCTCTTCGTCATCTTTGAGGATTTTTCTTTGTTTCCAACGAAATTTTTCAGTCTTTTGGAAGGGATCTTTTGCCATCCCAATACGTCTTCGGATCTCAGTGTTGCTATTTCCGTACACTTTCCATGTTTTTAAATTTCTGTACCTGCTTGACGATAACGTTACAAAGACACCATTTTTTCATTGTCATGCTGAAATCGCTATTTCATCAATAGTAAGTGAATGACGAAGAAAGTGGTTGTTTTTTTTATACGAACGAGCAAATTTGAAGCACCTGATAAACCAGATCATCTGCTACATAATGGGTTACCAACGTAGCATAAGTTACCATCAGTTTTGATCTAAACGTCTAAGTTTTTCTATACAAGTATGCACGTCTGCTCACAATTCTTTAATATTGAGTGAAGGCTCGGCGCCTACATTAAGTTCATCTAGAAGATCCAGATCACCACGAAAGCATTTTTAGGTTGACCGATGTACAGTTAGTGCAGGAGCTGGCTCCAGTCACTGTCAAGTGAAGGCTGACTGCGTCGCCTTGCATATTTACTGCGATTATGCTTACCATTGATTCAAATGCAAACCAAACCTATGCCTGGTTTATGACCACATTACGTAGAAACACCCATTCCCGTACGAACAGCGAAGTTAAGCAATGTCGAGCCTGGTCAGTACCTAAATGGGTGACCGTTTGAGAATATCAGGTGTTGTAAGCGTGGATGTGCGAGTGGTATAAAGGGCTTACGACCACAACACGTTGATAGACCGGTTCGCGTACGAACAGCGAAGTTAAGCAACATCGAGCCTGGTCAGTACTTAGACGAGTGACCGTTTGGTAAGACATGGTACTGTAAGCACGGATGTGCAGGTGGTATAAAGGGCTTACGACTACATCACGTTGATACACTAGTTCGCGTACGAACAGCGAAGTTAAGCAACGCCGAGCCTGGCCAGTATCTAGATGGGTGTCCGTTTGAGAATACCAGGTCTTGTAAGCATGATTGTACGGGTGGTATAAAGGGCTTACGACCACATCTCGTATGAAAAGTGAAGTCGAGCAATGTCGGGTCTGGCAGTACTTAGATGGGTGACCGTTTGAGAATACTAGGTATTGTAAGCTTGAATGTGCAGGTACTGTAATGGGTCGGAATTGTTAATTGAAAAGACGAGTTCCAGTCGGGTTCGTTATACTTACGCTTAAATACTCTCGGGAAAGTTATAAATCCACTTCTTGTTCCCCCAGCTATGGGTTAATCAATAAGACTCGTATCACTAAACTATTATGTCGAAGAAAAAATTCTTACTATCTCAAAATATTTTTTGGCTTTAAATAACCTACAAAGGGTTGATAAACCGTAGAAAAGGATTCAATCAACCAGTCAAACTTATGTCTCCTTGTTTATTTTGTAACTCTCATGCAAATCAAACCTCTGTCTAACTTTTTGGCTTTCTTGCAAACCAAAAGTATATCAACTTATTCGTTTCAGGTGCAAAGAAAGACTGAGTCGGATAAAGAAAATGAGAAAACTTAACAAAGCATATCTTTACCTTTTATAAGTAATAGACTAAAACTATAAATACGTTTTTTAACTTACACCCCAGTTCAGAAATGTTTAAACACTCAGCTGTATACAATCGCTTCCTAAGATCAATCAGTTATGTGCCATGCGTGATACACGCTTAGGCGATCATGTATCTTTTGATACATGACTGACGAGGCCGTTTTTTCCTGCATTAGGTTGCCATTTCTTTCTGCGGTAGAACAGTTGCCATCTACTGCTATAGAACCCGGCCTGTCCTGCTGTTTACTCATAGCTGGGGGGAGAAGAAGAGGATTCATACCTTTCCAAAGGGTATTAGCGCGTAAGTGAATGTAATAGATTCGACAGGAATTCGAACTCGGCTCTCCGATTCCTCAATTCGATCCGCTATCTATTACTCCACCGTATTTTATAAAACGGTTTTGTTTGAGCATGGTGGACTGGCACTACAGAATTACACATACAAAAAGATCTGTACCAAATATGAGAAACCACATCTACTATCTGGACCTCGTTTTCAAAATCTGTGCAAATTAAAGATGTTGGAGTTCAAGAGCTACTTCAAGGGTTGGACCGGGACATTTTCAGCACACCTAGTATGCATAAGGGTATAGAGAAAGAGAAAGAAAAAGAGAAAGAGAAAAAGAGAGGGAAAGAGAGAGAAAGAGAGAGAGAAAGAGAAAGAGAAAAAGAGAGAGAAAGAGAGAGAAAGAGAAAGAGAGAGAAAGAGAGAGAAAGAGAAAGAAAGAGAAAGAGAGAGAAAAAGAGAGAAAGAAAGAGAAACTTAAACTGTTGCCATTTTAGCAGGAGCCTCCCCCTCACTTCTAATACTGAGCTGTTATATGACATCGTTCCTTCTTTACGGCAGCAAATGTTTGACGATTTCCTCAAAGATGATTAAGAGACTCGAGACGATAGAGATGTGGTTCTGCAGAAGGATGCTGAGGATGCCATGGACAGAACGTGTGAGCAACGATGAGGTCTTAGAGAGGATGCAAAAAAAGAGGAAGCATATAATTAACATCAGGAAGAGGCAGCTGAAGTTTCTGGGACACCTAATGAGGAAAAAGGGCCTGGAGAATCTGATACTCACGGGTCGAGTAGAGGGAAAGAGTGACAAAGGAAAACAACGTGTGTCATACCTGGCGGACTTAAGCAAGTGGATGACAGAACGTTGTCTGGGGTGGGGTGGGGGGAGGAAGCAGAGAGAAGGAACTTGTTGAGAGCGGCAAGGGATAGGAGGAGGTGGAGAGCCATGATCGCCTACGTCCTGAAAGGGCATGGCACATAAAAAGAAGGAAAGAAATATTCTATTTTTTATGCCAAAAGCATTATATTTTTATAAACCAAAATAAATAAGAATAAATATTTTTCTTGTTTGAGCAAAAGTAAATAAACAAATCATATTTAATATAAGAAAAAAACACGAAACGCTAATGTATCAGCAAATAACCAAAAATCAAAAAACAAACAAAAAAAAAACCCAAAAAAAACAAAAAAACATATAGAAAAGCATGATAAAGAGAAAATGAGTTATGGCAACAAGTATAAAAACAAAAAAAGTAGCTAGCTTAAGTTGTGAAAAAAATAATTTAAATAGACTTAGCATCATTTTTCGCGGCCCCTTTGAAAAACTTTCTCAACGATAAGAGAAAAAAGAAGCGTAGTTGGAAAAGAATGTGAAAACATAAAGAATTTGTACTCGAATCAAGATTAAACAAACACGAAAAAAAAAAAAAAAAAAGAAAGGAAGATCACACGCATGCATTTAATATTATGTGTGGGTGGCGTAACCCTTATCAGCGTTTAAAATGGGATCGGTATGCAGTGTTCAAATTGCAGCAAAGGACGTTGCGTTCACTTTAACCCAATGTGTGAATTTAGCTTTCACACATCACTATCTCTACTTATGCGGGAAATGCTCGGACGAACCGCATTCCTTCGTTTGGCCAGGTCCACTTACATTGTAGCAAATCAGCCACATTCTCTCCGTATTCAATCAGCAACAAGTTCCACTCGAACAGCTTCTTCCTACGAACCACTGCTCTGTGGAACCGACTCTCACGATGATGCTTCCCCGATCACTACAATCTTAACCTTTTTAAGTCGAGCATCAAATGGTTTTACAGTGATTTATACGACCTATAGTGTCAAGACGGCTAAACGTCTTATCTGAAAACCTGAAAAATCAATTATTTTATTTTATTTTATTTTTTTTAGATATTAAACATTTTTTGGGGTGGATAATTATGCTGTTACACTAAGTATATATGTTTTTTTAACCTTAGAACACTAACCATGGGTATATAGTACCCAGCGCAAATTTTCCTATTTTAATTACAATTTTCAGTACCTGATTTTCTTATCTAAATAATGTTTTTCAGTTCCTATTAATGTCAACTCAAAGTACAAAGTTTGAAGTGCCTGCATGTAAAATATTTCAGATTTATATTTAATATTTTTTTTGATATTTTCAAAATCGGGTATGATATACCCATGGTTAGTAGTCGGGTAACTTTAATTGATGCTTAGTGTTCTAGGGCTAATTGGAAACTCTAGATGTCGTTTTTGATCCATCAGCACATATTATTTGCTCAAAGTAATGTAATGGTCACTAGTGTAATGGTTAGCAAGCTTGTCTCGCTAGAACATTTACGACTGATTAGTGAGTTCGATCCTCACTGGGTGCCTCCTACTTTCGGTCTTGTGCCACGTCTAAATGATGCTTGGAAAATCACTAGAAAACGCTTCTCTTAAGTGGTTTCTAACACATCTATTTATCATCTCTCAGTTGCGTCTCTGTCTTTGGGCAGAGTGTACCCAAAGGGCGACTCCGTCAAAGGACAGAGTCATAACAACTGAGAATAAATATACTGAGACGTGCCCAGCCCTGGGGAACAGCTGTCCGAGTCCACGCCCTCTCATTGCACCAAAGAGAGGGGGATCTGTGGTCGCACTGAGGCCAGCGGGGGGGCTGCGGGTAATTTTTGTTCCTGGCCCGAGTATACGCGCTAGGGACCCCACTTTAAGAAAATACCTCGTGTCACAATACGTTTTAGTGGGGAGACAGAGTAAATGAATATTTAGTGTGCCACAAGGCCCTCAACCGACCTTCCTCAGATTTTGAATTCTGAGTTTTCCTTCCTTACACCGGTAGCCAACCAAGGCTATAGGATCCAGTCTGTCCTGCTATTTACTCACTTGTGGGGGAGGAGGAGAAGAAATGGATTCCTACATTTCCCGAGGATATTTGTATTTGAGTGCAAATAATTCGAAAACAAGTATTATTTAGGAGCGAGAAAAATAAAAGAGCAATCAGGAAGATAGTAGATAGCGATTGATATTGCATTTAAATTTTTGAAGACCAAATTTTACTGCAAAACAAGAGACCGGAAGCGAGAAGTGCACGAAAAGAAATTGTCAGTATAGAACTTACGGTTGCATCTAGCCAATTCTACTGTAAATTGTTTACACCTCTAAGCACCCGAACAATTGCAATGAAAGAATTTATTGAAAAGGCACAGGGAAGCAGCTTTACGGCGGTGGGGAAATCACTGATGCCGAGATGCCAGGTCAGGATCAATAATATTGCTCATATATCTTCGTATTTTATCAAGAATCTTTAAATATATAGCAGGAGCAACGGACCATATGTGGCAGCAATATTCGAGGCATGGACGAATGGTTTATTTGTTGTGTTTTACGGCATATCAACCTCATTGAGTTATTTAATGCCGACAACTTTTTTTCTGGTAATATTTTATTTTGTCAAAAATCTATTTCTGGTAATATTTTTTCCTAAAAAATGTATAGCTAGTTATATTATTTTAAAACATGTATTGCTGGTAATAATTTTTTTTTCAAAAACGTATGCTGGTAATATTTTTTTCCAAAAATATATTGCTGGTGATTTTTTTTTTCAAAAATATATTGCTAGTAATAGTTTTTCTTCAAAAATTTATTCCTGGTAATAATTTTTTACAAATTATTCCTGGTATTAAAACCTATTTTTACACTTTTATAATAATGTAATGTCTTGGTTATACTAGCGAATCCAGATATTTTAATTTTAGCTTGTACCAAAGTTCAGTGTAATAAACATTTGGCATGACATTTTTAAAATTCTTGAAAAGGTTTGTTTTTGCGGAAACTGTCTATCTTGACGTCTTTATGTGTACATTCTACACTAAGTGTGCCGTTTTGTTTTTTTCTGCCTATACAACGCTTACTCAGTTTTGGACTTAACTATTTGCCCATAGCTGGAACCCTAACAGGTGCTACCACTCCAGGTCAGGGTGAACCTGGGAACACCAGCAATTAAGAGGTGGTTCCACGCTCCTCAAAACCTCCTGATCAGAGGCCTTGCTGCTGGATGTAGTTTATCGTCTTACCCAGGACGCAGATGTAGTTTATCGTCTTACCCAGGACGCAGATGTAGTTTATCGTCTTACCCA